GGTCGGGGCGGCGTGAACCCGCACCACGGCATACCACCAAACCCCCTGGTCTATGCACACAGGACCAGAATTGCGCCAGGGACAGTCGACTTTACTCTTTCCGTCTCAATATCGCTCATTCTGTTTACAAGCAAGACAGTGTATGAGTGATATCCTATTGAGTGAAACGAAAGAAATAAATGAGAGTGTACCTGCAGGCATCAACAAATCGTCGGTTTAAGAATCGAGACAGAGGCATGGAAGTAAAATGCGATTATCTGGTTTGCCGATCCAATGAGAAGGGGGACCAGGTGATGGACAATGACAAGGAAATCCGGGGTGAGAGAAAAGATGGAGATCCATCAGAAAAAGTGTCGAAAGCAGCAACCTGAAAACTGAGCTGATCTCTGCAACCGGACACTGTTCATGCAAGCAACTGCAATAGACACACGTGGAACTTTTCATCATGTGAGACGATGTTAGTATGCAGCGGTGCCAGTAAAATGTCCACAGCGATTGCAGTCTGGGGGTGTTTACACTTCTCTACCCAAGTGAGTAGATGCACGGGAGGATTGGAATATGAGTGATTCTTTCTGTCTAGCCGAGGAGACGCGAGTGACTTATTACGAAGCTGACCAGTAGTCGCGACCACAATCGACAATGCCATTCCCGTGGATTATTTACAGAATGTTCGAATTAACACACACACAGACAGATCAGCTAGTCTGGGTTTGGATCCCAGGAGATAGAAGACTGGGCATGTCTGGCTAACAATAGCTAGTAGGTCAGAATACTTCCATCACAGGCTTCCTTTTCCTTCACGTACTTTCTAGTCGTAAGGCGAATGCATACGAGGGCTCATTTATGGGACACAACGGTACAACCCTTTTCATAACCTGGTTGGTGAACGACCCTCTCACTTTAATCAGTACGATTCACTTCGAATGAATGACTAATGTCGTGGTACCTGTTTATATGCAAGGAAGCTTCCTGGAAAAGAAAGCATCCAGACCCGCACGTCTCGGCTAGAAGGGATTATTTTAGGCTGACTAAAAATATTTCTAAGAAACCGTATCCAAAACCAGTTCAAAGGCTGCTTTATATTATCGCTGTGGCTTAATTTAATGGGTAGAACCTTTGCCGCTGTGACTTTTAGGTCCTGGTTCTGTAGGGAAAAAGAAGAAGGGAGAGGCCAGGTAGAAGGAATAGTAGAGTGAGAGAGAATATTCGCATTCCAGGTATGTCTATTGGTAAAGGAGACAAATGGTCGATCACTGGAATGAAGTTTATTTTTTCCTGAGCTTTCGAGCTCCTACAAGAGCCCATCGTCAGA